TATATATTCTTCTCAGCACCACATCTCACTTATTCCAAAATTGACCACATAGTTGGAAGTAAAGCACTCCTCAGCAAATGTAAAAGAACAGAAATTATAACAAACTGTCTCTCAGACCACAGTGCAATCAAACTAGAACTCAAGATTAAGAAATTCTCTCAAAACCGCTCAACAACATGGAAACTGAACAACCTGCTCCTGAATGACTACTGGGTACATAACGAAATGAAGGCAGAAATAAAGATGTTCTTTGAAACCAATGAGAACAAAAACAAAACATTCCAATCTCTGGGACACATTTAAAGCAGTGTGTAGAGGGAAATTTATAGCACTAAATGCCCACAAGAGAAAGCAGGAAAGATCTAAAATTGACACCCTAACATCACAATTAAAAGAAATACAGAAGCAAGAGCAAACACATTCAAAAGCTAGCAGAAGGCAAGAAATAACTAAGATCAGAGCAGAACTGAAGGAAATAGAGACACAAAAAACCCTTCAAAAAATCAATGAATCCAGGAGCTGGTTTTTTGAAAAGATCAACAAAATTGATAGACCGCTAGCAAGACTAATAAAGAAGAAAAGAGAGAAGAATCAAATAGATGCAATAAAAAATGATACAGGGGATATCATCACCAATCCCACAGAGATACAAACTACCATCAGAGAATACTATAAACACCTCTACACAAATAAACTAGAAAACCTAGAAGAAATGGATAAATTCCTGACACATACAACCTCCCAAGACTAAATCAGGAAGAAGTTGAATCCCTGAATAGACCAATAACAGGCTCTGAAATTGAGGCAATAATTAAGAGCCTACCAACCAAAAAAAGTCCAGGACCAGACGGATTCACAGCCGAATTCTACCAGAGGTACAAAGAGGAGCTGCTATCATTCCTTCTAAAACTATTCCAATCAACAGAAAAAGAGGGAATCCTCCCTAACTCATTTTATGAGGCCAGCATCATCCTGATAGCAAAGCCTGGCAGAGACACAACAAGAAAAGAGAATTTTAGACCAATATCCCTGATGCAAAAGATCCTCAATAAAATACTGGCAAACCAAATCCAGCAGCGCATCAAAAAGTTTATCCACCATGATCAAGTGGGCTTCATCCCTGGGATGCAAGCCTGGTTCAACATACACAAATCAATAAACATAATCCATCATATAAACAGAATCAAAGACAAAAACCACATGAGTACCTCCACAGATGCAGAAAAGGCCTTTGACAAAATTCAACAGCACTTCAGCTAAAAACTCTCAATAAATTCGGTATTGATGGGACGTATCTCAAAATAATAAGATCTATTTATGACAAACCCACAGCCAATATCATACTGAATGGGCAAAAACTGGAAGCATTCCCTTTGAAAACTGGCACAAGACAGGGATGCCCTCTCTCACCACTCCTATTCAACATAGTGTTGGAAGTACTGGCCAGAGCAATCAGGCAAGAGAAAGAAATAAAGGGTATTCAGTTAGGAAAAGAGGAAGTCAAATTGTCCCTGTTTACAGATGACATGATTGTGTATTTAGAAAACCCCATAATCTCAGCCCAAAATCTCCTTAAGGTGATAAGCAACTTCAGCAAAGTCTCAGGATAAAATATCAATGTGCAAAAGTCACAAGCATTCCTATACACCAATAACAGACAAACAGAGAGCCAAATCATGAGTGAACTCCCATTCACAATTGCTTCAAAGAAAATAAAATACTTAGGAATCCAACTTATAAGGGATATGAAGGACCTCTTCAAGAAGAATTACAAACTACTGCTTAATGAAATAAAAGAGGACACAAACAAATGGAAGAACATTCCATGCTCATGGATAGGAAGAATCAGTATCATGAAAATGGCCATACTGCCCAAGGTAATTTATAGATTCAATGCCATCCCCATTAAGCTACCAATGACTTTCTTCACAGAATTGGAAAAAAAACTACTTTAAAGTTCATATGGAACAACAAAAGAGCCCGCATTGCCAAGACAATCGTAAGTCAAAAGAACAAAGCTAGAGGCATCATGCTACCTGACTTCAAACTATACTACAAAGCTACAGTAACCAAAACAGCATGGTACTGGTACCAAAACAGAGATATAGACCAATGGAACAGAACAGAGCCCTCAGAAATAATACCACACATCTACAACCATCTGATCTTTGACAAACCTGACAAAAACAAGAAATGGGGAAAGGATTCCCAATTTAATAAGTGATGCCAGGAAAACTGGCTAGCCATATGCGGAAAGCTGAAAGTGGATCCCTTCCTTACACCTTATACAAAAATTAACTCAAGATGGATTAAAGACTTAAATGTAAGACATAAAATCATAAAAACCCTAGGAGAAAACGTAGGCAGTACCATTCAGACATAGGCATGGGCAAGGACTTCATGTCTAAAACACCAAAAGCAATGGCAACAAAAGCCAAAATTGAGAAACGGGATCTAATTAAACTAAAGAGCTTCTGCACAGCAAAAGAAACTACCGTCAGAGTGAACAGGCAACCTACAGAATGGGAGAAACTTTTTGCAATCTACCCATCTGACAAAGGGCTAATATCCAGAATCTACAAAGAACTCCAACAAATTTACAAGAAAAAAACAACCCCATCAAAAAGTGGGCAAAGGATATGAACAGACACTTCTCAAAAGAAGACATTTATGCAGCCAACAGACACATGAAAAAATGCTCATCATCATTGGCTATCAGAGAAATGCAAATCAAAACCACAATGAGATACCATCTCACACCAGTTAGAATGGCGATCATTAAAAACTCAGGAAACAACATGTGCTGGAGAGGATGTGGAGAAATAGGAACACTTTTACACTGTTGGTGGGATTGTAAACTAGTTCAACCATTGTGGAAGACAGTGTGGCGATTCCTCAAGGATCCAGAACTAGAAATACCATTTGACCCAGCCATCCCATTACTGGGTATATACCCAAAGAATTATAAAGCATGCTGCTACAAAGACACATGCACATGTATGTTTACTGCAGCACTATTCACAATAGCAAAGACTTGGAACTGTGCCCAAGGGGGACTTTGGGTAAGTGCCTAAGCAAAGACTGAAGACTTTCTTCAAACAGCAAAAATAGTCCTAACACAAAGACAACATATCCAACCCAGAGAGGGGAAAATTAAAGACTGTGTAGGACAAACAGGAAACAAATTGGCAGAACTTTGCCAATACAATAAAAAGTATCCAGACAAAGCAAGACAATTCACTTACCTTTCTTAGCGAGGACAAACTGGATGTTGACCTCAGAACTCCCTCTCTGTCTTTTAGGTAGGTGGGTGGGTGGATGGACAGACGGACGGACAGACAGACGGATGGATGGATGGATAGATAGATAGATAGATAGATAGATAGATAGATAGATAGACTGTATATATGTTATATATTTAAACATATTTTTTGATTATAAAAAATGTTCATTATAGAAAACTTGAAATATACAAAAAGATTACTTGATTCCTCCCACCTAAAATAATTACTGTTTACATTTTTATACATTTCCTTTTAGACTTTTCTTCACATGTACACATTTTTACCAAAAAAAAGGTATTATACCACGTGTACAGGTTTTATTTCAATTTCACGTAGTAGATCATATAAAAATGTTCTTTGACTATAAGATGGTAACTACATACTATTTCATCATAAAGATATGTATTATTGTATAGATTTAAGGTATAGCACAGGTTATTTGACTAAGGTAACAGAGACCAAAAATCCAGCACCTGAAAGAATAGAGACACTGATTTCTCATAAACAGTCCCGGAGTTCAGGCTTGAGCAGTCCAGAGCTGGTGTGACAAGACCACAGTGCCAAGAAACATGGAGCCAGCTCTGGGATAGAGAATTACTCCACTATCGCAAGCATTCACCTCATCTGCATTGTCCAAGATAGACAATCACGATGTCAGCATTCCAGCTCATGGAGGGAGTAATGAAGAAAAGATTAAAGAAGGGAAGGCAGGACTGCTCTGAAGCACCACCTAGAAATTATATACATCTTTTCTGCTCATATCGTGGCAATAATGGAATTTGCTGCCAAAATTCTGAACAGCTAATGATTTGATTACTATGGAAGAGAGGAGAAAGAACAGATACTGAGGGACCAATGAGGGTGTCTGCCACTCATTTAGAGTTCTTAAGACATAGTGTGCATTTAATCACTCTCAGTAATCCTTTTATCTCTCTCAGGATTTAACATGATGAATACCTCCAGGTTTCATAGCACAAAATATTGGCTTGGGTAATTTTTACTGGATATTGCAGTCAAGATTCTAGTAATCAGAATGAGAAAAGTCATGTAATTTATAAAATTTTAAGATTTATTTGACATATGTAAATATTACATAAGCATTTTATGAACACCAAAAAAAACTAAATAAATACAAATTATGATTCCCCAATTCACATTCCAAAGCTTGTCAACATCTCATCTTCAGACTCTTGTTCTTTTGGAGCCACAGTCCTATTGTCCCAACCACAGAAACAACATTCTGCAGAAGAACTGTGCTATGCACAAATGCATAAACAGATGAAATAAATTCATCACAAGTCAAGCACTCCCCCTACCTGTCCAGTGCTTCTTTGGCTTTCTGCTGAGTTCCATATCCTATGGTGAGGTACAGTATTTTGTAAATTTGTACTCATATGGTGGTAATTTGATTGTCTAGCACTTGCCTTTGACCTTAGGCTGGCTCCCCTGGATTTTAAGATTTTTGGAACCATTCTTGATTCAGTTTCTTAAATACTAATCACTTCCCTCTACTTAGCAACTCTGGCATTATCCTCTTTTCCAGAACAAGCCTAGAAACCTTAGGGTTTCTTGCAAGGAATAGTTCAGTTACTGTTACCCAGCAAGTGTGAGGACACTTTTTCTGTCTTGTCCCACAGTGTTCTTTTCACCTTTCTCTTTCCTTCTTTTCTCTCTGAAACCTTCCTTTTTTCCTTTTCTCTTTGCACTGCCCCCAATTCCTCTGCTTTCAGTCAGTCTAGTGGCTCCCAGTGACTACCTATCCACTGCTGAGCCCTTACTCAGGGCTCCGCAGCTAAACCACAAACATTTAACTCATCATATGCACCCCAATGTATTCTCTAATGTGGAAGAATTTCCCATTATACTTTAATAGACAATGAAACAATGTGATGATTTCCATTGTCCATGGATTCAATGGCCATGCAAAATACATGATAAATAATGCCTCAAAAAAGTTTCTTAGAGAATGTGCCTTATTTTAAAATACTTACATACCAAAAACAATTACAGAATGAGCTGAAATTCAGGCACTCAAAAGCCTAAGAGTCAGATCAGCAATCACAAAACTGAATTCCTCAGACCATTGGGAAAACTGCCAACAGAACACCTTGCCCCCAAACCATCAGGTGAATCTAGGTATTGTTTACTGAAATTCCACTATTTTTTGAAACAAAGAATCTTCTTTGCTGTTGTTTTCAGTTTAGGATGTGTGATAATAATGAGAACAGAATGTCCTGGAGAGTAAAGGGTGGCAAAAATCAGACAAATGGATTTGGTCCCCATATCCATCCCTGCATAAAAGGGGAGATATTGGACCAGTGTAGCAACTGAATATGGAATGTAGAGGATGAGGAAATAGATCATCAGCTTCATAGCACCTACATGAGCTTCCGTCTGGGGACTCCAGAAACCAGTGGCATTTTTCTGCATCTTCCGTATATGTCTCCTCAAGGAGTATATTAGCAAGGAAGCAGAAGTCACATTAATGATGAACTGGAGAGATGAGCTCAAGACAAAAGAAACCACTAAAGACAAGATGCCCTCACTGATATTAAATGATGTGTTATTTCTCTTAGTCACAAGTTCAGGAAAAGGTGATGCCTGGCTAAGCGTGATATACAGGCAAGTGGTGAAAGCAGAAATCAGCACACAGGCCGGCAGCAGTCTGGGAATCTTTGGGGAGATATTCCGCTTCAGCAGGAGAAACACTGAGTGTTGGAAGTTGGTAATCTTCACACAGTACAAGCTGTTGAGCAAGGTCACAAACCAGAGACTGCTTGAGTCCAAAAACATGAAACACAACACGAAAAAAGCAGACAGGTAGACTGACCTTTCCTTATTTGAAGAGACGAAATAGATGGTGTTCACCAGAAATAGTCCCAGCATAAAAAACCTGGTGATGCCCAAGCTGAACAGGATCCTTTCAGAAGAGGAGATTCTATGACTTTTGACCCAAGTTTTGTAATTGACCACTGTAATAAACAGACTCATAATGATTCCTACAAAATCTAAAATAACTGAGGCAATAATAGCAGAGAAATAGAATAACCAAAGCATCTTTACTCATCAAGGATTCGGCAGTTGTGGTGCTGATAGTGGGGGCAGGAGAAATACCAAAATGTATAAGCAGACACCAGTATCTAGCCACGAAGGACATCTCCTTTTTAATTTTTCCCCAGTGTGGCAAATGAGCCATCCATGATCTAAGGGCCAGCTGCTTTTACTGAGATGCAAATCTTCCAAGGATTGCATTACTATTCCTTCATGTGTATCCTGTTCTCCCTAGACATGCCTAATTACAGCGAGCCTAGGTGATCCTGGGAGTCCAATCCTCCAAGAGCAGGAGGGTGAGAGGGAGGAGTCACAACAGGCTCCAAAAACTTAGAATCCAAATCGGAGAGCTTGAGTCCAGCAATGCTTCTGTCACTGTTTTACGGTAAAGCTTTTCTTCATAAAAATGCCAGAATATGGCAGAAATCCTTATTCCTCACTCCTACCCACCCACCTTCTAGCCTCATATTCATGGATAACCAGAATCCAATTTCTCTCTCTCCTCTAATCTGTTGCTGCCACAACCGGTTTCTCCAACTGTAATTCTGGCCATGCCAATGCCACTCTTTCAACCCTAGTGACTCATCTACAGTGATTTATAGTGATCTAATAGATCAAGTTCAAAGACCCAATATCTCCTTGAAAAAACCTTTCTCAATGAATCCCATCCTTTCTGATGCCCTTTGCTTTGCATTCTCTATCTACATACGTAGATTTGTGCCATAACCATTTGCTATGTTCTGGTTTTTCTTAGAAAAAGTTAAGTCAACCCTTGTAGGTGTTTCCTTTATAAATCTGGGTTTATGTTTAGATCACATATGGCTATTTTTCTTAAGCATTTAACTGTCAATCCACGTACCCTGAAATGAGATACACAGTAATGCACTGGTTGCAGTTTTGTGAGCCAAACAGCTAGGCATCTCATTGCTGGATTTCTCTGTACTTGCTCAGATGGGAAATGGCACAATACCCCTGGCAAATGATATTATGGCGGACCATAGGTGAATGTAAGAGTATGGCATCTCCTATCTACTCCAGCAGCTGAATGAAACCAAGGTGCAATCCTGGATGCGGCCACATATGTTACCAAATTAGCATCAAGGTACAGCACAAAGTCCTACTGCCAAGTCCAAATAGAAATAGACAAGAAAAAGGAGCTAAGATATAATGATAATCAGGTCCAGAAGAGGGGAACACATTCATGAGGCCCTTTAAGACAGATGACAGGACGGCAAGCCTGGAAAAATTCTCTGACCTTGTGCCCAGGTGCTTACAGAAGCTTTTTATTCAAAACTGACAGGCACTGATAGAGGCATGCCCACATATCAGTTAAATAGGCAAACAGAATGAGCCAGGAAGACTATGACTAAAAGGAAAATTATCGCACAGATTTCCAATTAATTATCCGTAGATGGCTGCATTAAAGTGAAGTTACAGTATTACTAACATCACATTTAAATAAAATAAATAATATAGAGTAAACCATAAGAAATAAATGTGGCCAAAAGAGCAGGAATCCCAGAATTAGATAGTAACAGACTCTATCCAGAATGTACTATACCAAATTGTTGGGTTCTGTGTAGGAAGAAGTGCTGTAATTAAGATGTGATAAAGTTGGCTAGCACAATCAATGAATGAGCTCATTCAATTAGAAGTTATTTCCACAAGGGTCAGTATGGGAAAAGTGTTAGCAGAACCCTTTCTCTCTCTGCATGAGAATTTGACCTACAGTTAAAATTCCTAGCTGTTTTCCTATCAACCTGATAAGGGTGAGAACATCAACTATGTTTCTAGACCAAAAAAAAAAAAAAGACTCCTAATTGGCAAATTGCATCTTGACTGGAAGGAACTGTAAGTGAACTGTAATAAGTATCTTACGGAGACTGCACGCATTGGGCTTCCTTCTCCTGTGCCTGTATCTTGACTCAACCCTAGAAGCTTTGTCTACAAAATTATAACATGATAAATTGGATCTTTTGGGACATGAAGCTTTTAATTTACGGCAGCTCCCAGCCTTACTCTAATGTGTATCTCTTATTATTGTACCTGAACTGTATGACCTGCACCAAAGACTCTGCAAAAGAGGAAGGCCTGACACTGCCCTGCTGGTAAATTAGGTCCCTCAACTCTATCCGTCTGAGTAGGCTGGTACCACAGTGGACTAAGATAGTCTTATAAGTTTGATTATTTACTAGAGCCCAAGAAGACCAACTAGCAGGCATTGCAGGCATGGGTCCAAACTTTGCTTCTTGACAGGTCTGTAAGAAAAGCTTTAGGGCAAATTGTCAAAGCAAATGAATGGCACTTAACTTATTTGATGACAGCTCTGAAGAATTAGGTCAGTCATGAAGAAACAGGAATTTAAAAGTTCAAAATGTTTTCAAAAAAGTATACATGGCACTTACGAGAAAGAAGAAAACTTCCATTTCTTGTGTTTTTTTTTAAATGCTTACTATGTTCCCAGCAGTGCACCAGGCATCCTAGGAGGAGTATATGGTTATCCTATTTATGAGTGAGGAAAATGAAGATCAGGGAAAATAAGTGACTGCTTAACACCAGAGCAAATGCCTTGGCCCATTTTCTGCTGCTATAACAGAATACCACAGATTGGGAAATTTATAAAGAAGTCTAGTTGGCTCACAGTTCTGGAAGCTGGGAAGTCCAAAAGCATGGTGCTGGCATCAGCTCGGCATCAATGAGGACTACTTAGTACTTCATAACACGGCAGAGGGCAAGAATGTGTACATGAGAACAAGACAGGAAAAGTGGGCCAAACTCCTGCAATAACAAACCCACTCCTACATTAATCCATTCATGACAGCAAAGCCCTCATGACCCAGTCACCTCTTAAAGGCCCCACCTCTCAACACTGTTACAAGGGTACAATTACATTCTGGCATGAGTTTTGGAGGGGCCATCCAAACCATAGCAGCAAACGACTGGCTAAGCTGAAAGGTCTGAGACTGAGCTCTTTCTACTACACTAGACTTCCCTCACTGGTTCTTTCATTCTATAAACTGTGGTTATCAGCCAGTCACTGTTAGGTGCTGGGGAAACAGAGAAGAATCACCCACAGCACACCTGCCTTCAAAGAATATATGAAATGGTAAAAAAAAAAAAAAAAAAAAAAAAAAGACAGATGAATAGACAATTAGAATTGAGAGTTTTAGATGCCATAATAAGGAAACACAAGGAGCGCAACAGGAGTGTTCAGGAGGCACACTTGATCCAGTTTTGGCAGTTCAGGAACTGAGAAGACATATACATTCAGTCTTAAAGGATGCAAAGAGATTATCCAAAAAAAGCTAAGGTAGGGAGAAAGAAGGATATTGCAAGCAGAGAACTCTACATGCAGACTAAGAGGTGATAGTGTGTGGTGGGTTCAGAAAACAGAAGAGGGGAGGGGTACAAGGATAGGAAGAGAAATAGTGGGAGATGAAACTGAAAAGATAAATCAGGAAGTATCTATGCCATAGTAGGTACAGAATTTGGACATAATTATTACACTAATGTGATCAGAGGCATGTACAACATTAGAAAAACACACAGAATAAGTGCTTAGCTTCACCTAAAAGAATCAGAGAAAGTTTCCTGGAGGAGGGAGGTCTTGAAGAATAAGAGAAGTTGACACAGTTGATAAGAAAGATAATTCTAGGTATAGAAAGCAGCACATGAAAAAGCATAGCAGCAAGAAGAGTACGGCATATTTGGGAACTAGAAGCAGTTGAAAGTTCTTTTGGAAAAGCAAGGAACAAGAAGATGAAACTCAAAAGAAAACAGAGGCCAAATGATGACTGGCTTTATGCTGTAAACTAAGTAGTCTGGACTTTACCCAAAGCAATGGACAGCCACTGCAAGACTTTTAAGAGGGGAGCATTACTCCCCTCTTTTCACTGTATGAAGAATACAATCCAAGTAATGAGGAAAGGCTTTGCTGGAAGGGGATGGAGTTGGAAATAGGAAACTAGTTAGAATCCTGTTGCAATCACTCTGATGGGCTGAAAAGAGTGGAAATGGAGACCAGGAAACATGTGAGAGAAATGTTTTGAAGTACAACAAAGGGGATCTGGCAACTAAATGGATATTGAGGTTGTAGGAGAAGACAGAATCTGGAATGATTTCTAGAATTCTGGTGCACTTTGAACACACACACACACATGCACGTACACTTATATGTCTTTTAGTGAGTATCTTTATCGTCTGCACTAGCTTTTTAATAAAGAGATTACTTATATGAGAGGTCTGCCAAGAGGCAGAGGCTTAAAAAAGATTAGATGTGCAAGAGATCTTAGGTGGGTGGGAGCCAGAGGAAGTGAGCAGAGTATTCAGATAGCAATGTAGGTCTGACAGCTATAAAAGGGGAAGAGGTAAAGTGGGGTAGGGAATAATTGGGTAGAGAGAGTTCAAAAGTGCAGTAGAGGTCCAAGAAAACTTCAACCAAGCTGATGCAGAGTCCTTGGCCAAAATTGCCTGTTAGAGGAGTCCCATGTCTCAGCAAAACAGACTTGCCTTAGTACTCCACAGTGCTCCACCACTGGCTGGGAGAAGCCTGCAGGAAATGTGGCCTCACGGTAGTGGGTCTCCCAAGCTGGAGCCATCAGCCAATTGAGCCTCCACAGCAGAGATCTGAGTGCACATTTTCAAGGCTGACACAAAAGGGGTCTAGAGACAAAGATCACCTGCACCAGGACCCTCAAGATAGGATGATCCCTTTATTGTACCTGAAGCACCTGTTTCAGTGATGCAGCAATTAAATACTTGTTACTGTGTCTTTATGGCCCACTAAGTAATGTTTTTGAGAACAGAACCGTGTTCAAGGAACAAGCGTCTCGTACAGTGCTTGGTCTCGTACAGTGCTTGGTACACAATAAGTGTTAAATAAATGTTTGTGGCAGGAAGGAATGAACTGGAATCAAGGCTAGCCAGAATCAAAATGAAGTGAGAAATGTATTCATTCCTGGACTATTACAGCAACATCCAGAAGCTAGGCAGCGCTCATCCCTTTCTCAAGGGGGATCTGCCAGCTGGGCAATAAGGGGAGAAGCCTTAAAAGCCAAGGATAACTCAGAAATCCTTCCTCTCTGGCTATGAATACCCTGTCTGGCCACAAATGGAAACTGAGATCAGATAGAACACGGCTAAGAAACTCCACTCATCAACTCCTGAAAATATGTATTTCAGTGTTAACCTGGAAATGTTGCTCAGACGATTGACCCAGCTCCACCAAGTCACAATGACAATTTAATGATAGTGTGGCCAACAAAATTTACTCACTCTACAAGCTCAAATGTGCTGAAAACAAGTCAGTTCTTTATTTTATCTATCAGTAATATGGTTTTTCTCCTGAGCTGCCACCTGCTGGCTGGGGAGGTGTTTAATCCAATGGGATAATGCAAACTGTGCAGACCAAAGGAAATTTTTTTCCCGTCATT